TCTAGGATATCAATGTTTATGCATTCCATTTAATTTTTGACAACTTCCAACTTTCCTAGATTCATGCACCGTATATTCCATGTTCTAATTATTAATGGATGTTTAAAACTGTCTCTCTTCATTTTGAGTTGTGCCCCACAGCAAATTCATGTCCCTAACTCTTTACTGCATACATATCATCACTGTCAACTCTACTTTAAGGAGGCAGCTCTTCCCAGTGGTATTTTGAGTGTCTTCCAACCTGAGGCACTCATCTTCTGGGGGTACAGCTGACAATATTCTAGTGCTACTCATCAATATTTAAATCTGTCATAGACGAAATACAACCAGAATGCTCTTTCAACATGTTGCCTGAGAGACCAGTGACCGGACAAGGACATTATGTGCCACATCAGGATTCGTTATGTTAATACAGTTGTACTAAATTCATGCCACTCTAATTTTTTTTTCCCCCCAAATAAGGTATGTAGTGTGCTTGATTTACAGATGCTACCAGTACAGAATACTGAAAAGGGCAAGATTTAGGTTTAAAAAATTCACTATTTCAAGTTAAATTTAAGAAGATGAGATAAAAATGAAAGTTACAGTTCTAAAAATGCCACACAAAATCTGAATCCTTCTACTGACAAAAGATTTCTAAGCATGTTGATGTCCAGAAATTAAAAATTTCCTATACTTAATGAATAATTACATCTGTGAAGTTCACACTTGACTATGGTGTCAAGTTTCACTTGCACTATTGAGTTGATAGTTTTCTATTTCCTTTTGTTTGCTTATTAAATTCATTTCAGTCTTTAATTTTTAGTCTGTGTCTCTAAAACAATATGAATTAAGGAACAAACACATGGGTTTCTATGCTGGTGACAACAGAATGTGTTTCTAGAGAGTGCCAGAGATATTTGGCAGAAGTCTACCCATCAAGTTGAAAAGTACAACCAGAATCTCATGAGACCTTTGAATGTTGTTGTTGTTAAGCATCTTCAAGTTGATTCAGACTAAGAGCTACCATGTATAGGATTTCCAAGAAACGCCTGGTGAGCCTGACCCACCAACCTTGCTGTTCAAACTGATATTGCAGTCCAGCACATCAAGCCACAGTGCCACACTTATTTAGGGCTAAATATAATTGCCACTTGTTCCACCTTTCTGCAGGTCCACAGGAGCTCTTATTTGTTGCTTCCCAAATTTTTGTCACACTGTTTTTTTGTTTTTAATGTTTTATTGTGAATTATGTGATATTTTACATGGGATAACATTAGCTTTACATTCATCCTATCAAATGTCATTTCATTGCCATGGTTACAATTCCCTCCATGTATCATCAACCAACCAAAGGGTATACCCTGAAAGCCTGGACTCTTCCCCTACCCACTCCCCTCGGTCATCATCACACAGCCATTCTCCCTCTCTGGGTCTAGAGTCCCCAGCCACTCCATCTCTCCACGTCATCATCTCTGTCTCCATCTCTGGAGTCACTGTTTCTCTGGGTAGGATACCACACTCCACTCTTCTCCTTTGATTGTCCCAGGTACCTCTGATCCTAGACTGCAAATTCAATCACTCCCCTCCTTTCTTGTGAGTTTCCTCATAGTTTTAATGTTTCTAGGTTCTTGGGTTTTCATTTTCTTTGAATTTTGTGAAGTGTTAATTTTCTTTGAGGTTGCTTTATATCCCATTAATTTTCTCCTCCATTTAGTGCAGTCTATTTCATCCTGTAATCTACCTGACCTTATCACCATCTGGAGAGCTGTTCCTATATGTTTACCTTCTTTTATATTGTAATTGTTTTGATCGTAGTGCTGCCACGTATGTCAATCTCTGGTTGGTGTCTGTTCTTGTTGGTCCTCAGTCCACAGAACTCCCTTTAGGATGTTTTGTAGCACAGGGTTAGCTTTGGAAAATCCCTTAGCTTCTGTATCTTAGAACGTTTTGATTACACCATTGTATTTGATTCATAGCTTATCTGGATAAAGGATTCTTGGTTGAGAGTTTGTTTTTTGTTTGTTTGTTTGTTTGTTTTCTTTCAGGGTTTTATATATGTCTCCCCATTGCCTTCTTGAGTGCATAGCTTTTGCTGAGAGATCTCAGCTTAATCTGACTTGCTTGCCTTTGTATATGACACTTCTCTTTTCCCTAGCTGCTTTTAGGATTCTCTCCTTATCTTTGATTTTGGAGAACTTGATTATAATATGTCTTGGTGATTTTCTTTTGGGGTCCATCCTTCCTGGGGTTTGGTCTTTCCCAAGTTGCCAAGCTAGCAGATTCAAAAGTACACAATTTCTCACTTCCGCTAAAAATTCCACTAGCTGTAAGCCTTCAACCTTTTAAAAATAATCCTACAGTTTTGGAGCTCTACTCTGAAACCGCTTTGCCTGGTATTCTGTGGTATTGCTGATGGGCGAACTTCACTGCACCTCTACCCTATCTGCCATCCATCCCCGCCCTTTGACAAGCTGTTTTTGCCTAGTACTATTGATGTTACTTTCCAGCTTATTCTTCTTTTATAACATCTCTCAATAATGTTACAAAGCTGGATAGATTATGATAAAAAAAATATTTTATTTCTATCATTTTAATTTTTGCTAAGAAAAAACACAATACTACAGAGAGTAAAAACCTTATTTTTTCTATGATTTTTTTTCTTATGCTAAAAGAGTAAAAAATAGATCCCATCCATAATTAATGCACTACTTTCCAAGGTTTTTTTTTTTTTCATGGCAGAAACTCTAAAAAAAGCCCCTGTTTCAAAATATATATTCTTTATCAAGATATTTACTCCCTGTTATCTGACCATACTCACCTTTACTTCCCTTAATCGCTACCTAATGGTCAAAAAAAAAAAAAAAGGTCTTGGTGTGGCACTGTGGATTAATGTGCTGGACCACAAAGTTGGTTTGAATTGCAAAGTCAGAGGTTCAAGCTCACGAGGTGATCCTTGGAAGCCCTATATAGGGTTGCTATGAATCAGAAACAAATTGATGGCATATAACAACAACAATAATGGTCAAAAAAAGTGCAAATTATACTTATACATCTAAGGCGTTAGTCAGTCTGAAAACAGGTAGATTAATACAGACAAATACACTGAATTAAGAATTCATAATAAATTCTTATTATAAGAATTTATAATAAATTAATAATAAAAATATTATTTTTTTCTTCCTTTGCTTAGTTTTGCACTCACATAAAAATATCATGGCAAAGTGTCTTTTCTTATATTATAGTAAATTTAGGGGCATTTTGTGACTACCTTGAAAATTTAAACACATAAATGTTGTTATAGTACTTGTATTTTTGTTAGATTTCATAGTGTAGACAATATGCAGCAATAATTGAAAAGTAGTATCAGTGACACCCAAGGAGTTCAATGCTGAGTAGATATTCAAGTCTACTTTGGAACTTTAATTAACACCATCCTTTTTCCGTGTTGACAGGAAAAATACAGTATTGAAAAATTTCAAAATATACCCAAATCAGATTTCCTTCACAGGTATTTATAAATTGAGCATTGTTGTTGTTGTTTTTAAGTGTCATCAAGTCAGTTCCAATTGATAGTGACTATGTATAGTTCCTAAGCAGGTTTGAACTACCCACCAGGCAGTTAACAGTTCAGTGCTTATCCTTCAGCTCTACACCAGGACTCTAAACTGAACAATAGGTATTTATTACTTAATTGGACATCAAAATAATTTAATACAAAAAGATTTAACTTAATGACCTTCACAAACTTTTTTTTTTTTTTAACTCATTTTTGGTATTGTTGCCAAATTTGCAAGAAGAATATAAAAAGACAAGAAATTCACAATAACAATGAGTGAGCTCCTAGATAGTTTTAAAGGTTTATAGTGAATTTTCGATGCCAATAGGAAGCTTGCAACAGTCACACAAACACACTTACCATATTCACTATCATAGAATATAATGAATTTCTGCCAGGCGTACTCCGTGACCACTCTCAGTATAACATCATTCAAGTAGACTGGTGGGCGAACTGAGAGAGTGTAGTCATCATTTCTGTTACTCCGGGTGAGTCCACAGCCACTCCTTGGGGTACCAGCTGTCGAACGCTGAATGAAGAGGTGAGGTATATGCATGGCATCTGCCAGAGACTGCAGAGAACCTGCTGATGTACAGCCAATGGAGCTGACAAGGGCCAAGATGCCTTGATTCATAAGTTCACAGGCTGCAAAAAAGCACAGTAATATTTAAATGTTAAAGGGCTTCTTTTAAGTCCTTTTTTTGAGTAGTTGTGCATAAAACTTATTGAATTATGATTATGAAAATGTTTAAATGGAAACATTCCATATGAGTAGAATCTCAAAGTATTAGGTGCTATTGGAATTCAGTAAAATAATTCTGCCTTTATTAACTATGGATGTTTTAAGAATTACTTATCTTGTCTTGGTCTTAGTTTCATCATCTGTAAAGAAGGTAAAAGGGTACCAATCTTACTGGATTGTTGCAACAATTATAGAATATAATGTCACTGGCCTCTCACATGGTAGGTACTTAATTAATAATAGTTGTCATTTTATATCCATTAGTGTACAATTCAGAGAAAAGTCAATTCCCTACTGAGGATATGATAAATGGTTTAAATAAGGAGATGTTATGTAAGCTGATTAATTGATGAAGAGAGAGATGAAGGATTAAAAGAAAATATATTTGTAGTATAGGGGTTACAAATTGTGCTGGTAACCTCAAGGTCAGCAGTTCGAAACTGTCAGCTGTTCCGCGGGAGAAAAATGAAGTTTCTGCTCCCGTAAAGATTTATAGCCTCAGAAACCCTGTACAGGGTCGCTATGAGTTGGAATCGACTCCACGGCACACTACCACCACCACCATGTAAGCTGATTAATTGATGAAGGGAGGGGTGAAGGATTGAAAGAAAATATTTTTATGGCCACAGGAAACAGAACTACTCTGATGTCTAAAAAAGTTGATAACACTTTGTCTTTCTCAATAAACTAGTGAAATGGAAATATTTTTAAATTTTCCCTTCATAGTCATAAAATCCATAGTCAAATCAAACACTAAATTTGTGTAGCTATTTCATTCTGACTCCCAAGTGAACAGTCTCAAATCCCTTCTATATGTTTTATGATCTCTCTTTTAATTTCATTTTAACAATTCTGCATGTAAATGTGTATTTACTTTAAAGCAAATGTCAAACTAGACTAAATGCAAATTATATTTAGGTATAAAGGTACAATATATGTAGAAATAATAGGTAAGAAATGATACCTCAGAATTGCTTTTTTGAATATAAGAACATAGAACTAAACTGAAAAGTAAATTCAGAAATAACCAAGATAAAATTAATTTCATTTGAAAGATATTTAATCTAGTATTTATTTTATATATTTTTGGAGAAATCAAGGCATTCCAGGAATAACATTCTCAAAATTCAGATAGTTTTACATAGTATTTCAAAAATTCGAAAGTTAATGAAGGATGATTCACAGTGCAGGCTTATGAGTATTATACCAATGGCATCCATATAAACATCAAATAAGTTTATGATGATTAATGTTAAATCAACCAATAAGTACAGAATAAATTTATAATTATTAATGACAAGTTTCTGAAGCATTGCTCCATGAAAGAGGTATATTAATTTAAAATACATTTGAGAGTTAGCATTAACATGAATGCTTCTTAGATTATAAGATTGAAGTTGACATTTCAGTAAACCTCACACATGATCCTACTCAAGTTCATAAATTCAGCATTTATAGAAAGTAAAATAAATTTATAGCTATAATTTCAGCGAATTTATGGCAAGTGACTGATCAAAAATTGTCTTATTATTATGATAAAGAAAAGTATTATTGATTTATAAAAACAAATAAAAACCAATTTTCTTTAGACTCTGCTTTAGATCTTGGCTAAGTTAGAATATAAAATTACAAGTAAAAAATAAAAATAAGAAAAGTGCCTTAAAATGTAGGGAATTGGATTAAATCTTCAGATTCCCTTAACTATGTTGTTGTTGTTGTTACATGCCGTTGAGTCGGTTCCAACTCAAGAACTAAATAAATGTAACATCTTATATATTTCTATCAAAAGAGTCATAAATTATAGATATAGAAGTTTAGATGAAAAAAATCAGTTTCAGTGTTATATTCTATTACAAGTAACATTACACAAAACTGCCTGAATTAATGATCAGATTTAGCAAGATAAACTCATAAAGAAGTCTTAATAATGTCTAGTAGAAAATACTTTTTGGATGTTACTTATGATTTATTCAAATCAACTATGTTATTCCGTATTAACTCTAGTTGGAAAGAACACAAAGTAAGCAGATAGTAAACAAAACAAAAACTATTATGTACTCTAAAGCATAATGTTTTCATTATCTACTATTTGACCTACTGCATATAATAGCAAGAAAAACTGAGAATTTTATATAACTCCAAGTAGGAAGCATCAAAATATTTGAAAAGAAATTTGTAGATAATCTAGTTTAGGTATGGTCATTGTCCATAAATGCTATGGCAAACTTGACTTATAAGAAAAAGTAGCCCGAAACTGAAAGCATTCCCCCTGCAAACAGGAACCAGAAACAGATGTCTGTTATCGCTACTCCAATTCAACATTGTGTTGGAAGTCTTAGGCAGAGCTACAAGGCAAGAAAGGGATATTAAAGGTGTCCAAATTTGCAAAGAAAAAGTAAAACTCTATTTGTAGATAACATGATAAATATAAAAAAAAAAGAAAAAGTATCCAAATCATTTTTTCAAGTTTCTCATAGGAATATACTTGAAGAGTAGCAGCATCAGGATTGGAGGAAGACTCATTAGCAACGTGAGATATGCAGATGATACAACTTCACTTGCTGAAAGTGAAAAGGACTTAAAACATTTACTGATGAAGATCAAAGACCACAACTTTGGTATGGATTAAATCTCAATGTCAAGAAAACAAAAATCCTCACCATTGAATCAATAATTAACATTCTTATCAATGGAGAAAAGATTGCAGTTGTCAAGGACTTCATTGCATTAGGCAAATATGCTGCACAAGACCTTTTTAAAGTGTTGAAGAGCAAAGATTTCAGCTTGAGGACTAAGGTGTGCCTGACCCAAGCCAAGGCATTTTCAATAACCTCACATGCAAGCGAAAGCTGGACAGTGAATAAGGAAGACCATAGAAGAATTGACATATTTGAGCTATGGTGTTGGAGGAGAATATTGAAAGTGCTGTGGGATGCCAAAAGAACCAAGAGATTTGTGTTGGAAGAAATGCAACCAGAGTGCTCCTTGGAGGCCAGGATGGCCAAATTTCATTTCTCATACTTCGGACATATTGTCAAGACAGACTGACTAGTCACTGGAGAAGGATATCATGTTTGGTAAGGTGAAGGGTCAGAGAAAAAGAGGAAGATCCCCAGCATCAATGGGCTTAAGCATGGCAACAATTGTGAGTATGGACCAGAACTGGGCAGTGTTTTGTTCTGTTGTACATAGGGTCGCTATAAGTCAGTACCAACTCAATGGCACCTAACAACAACAACAAGTCAGACCTACATTCTTCTTATAATGTCTAACCCTCTATTGTTATTGTTTAGTTATCAATAAAGCACGACCACCCCCAAAAATGATCCAGTTCTCTAACTTATGACCCTATGTCTTTTTTTACCTCAACAAACAAACAAGGAAGGAGATTATTTTGTTTGCAAACTTAAAATTCTATATGACCAAAATGAAGTAAAATAACACTATAGAAAGAGTTCTTAAGTGGGAGGAATCTAGATGAGCAAATTCTGTTTATCGTCAGGTTTTGCAAAGAGAAGTAATTCCACTAAAGAATAAAGGAGGAGCACATGCACCTATATGGATTGGGGTTGGGTGACAAAAAACACAACCACAACTGAGGAAGTATAAAAATGAGTGTGCAAGATAACCTATGTTTTTCCCTTCAAAGGAACACTTAGTGTTGATGTTAATTTTATTCTATTTTACCTACATATAATTTTAGTTGAAAGAGAAGATAGAAAATGATTTGATAGGGTCCTTAATCTTCCATAGTGACTTAAAGGTTAGTATAAAAACAGACTATAAATCATGATGTCAGCAAAGAGATTTGAGAAAATGAAGGAATGTATCAAGAACTGAAAGAAATAGAATGAAGTAACTTAGCATGTACTACAAAATTTCCATAACTTGACAACTGGAAGACTGAATTATTTAGAAGTTTAGTTCTACAGAATTAGAACTAGTTTTAATTTTATTAAATATAGTATGGAAACTGAATTTGGAAGATTATAGTGTTTGTGTGTGTATCAACCACTTTTTTAAATTATAGGGCTCCAAGTCAAGTAATTCTCAGTGGCATAAACTTTTTCCAGCATTACACCAAGCCTGTGATTTAGTGATATTATGTATGTGTGTAGACATGCACATTCATATATAGAAAGCAATGTAGAACAATTTGCTAGCTTTGTGTTTCCACATGTTTGAGACTGTAACACTATCAACCCAAGCATCAAAAAGATACTTGGAACCTGTACTAATTGGCACAGCAAACCCTCATCCCCTATATAAACAGCAATTGTAGTCAGCAATGATTTTACCATATGTGATCATTCTGTACTCATGGAAATGAAATTGACTGTATAAACATACAGGTTTCAATTAAACAATTTCACTAATACTATTTTTTTTTCATTTCTGAAATGAATTGTTTGAGTTCATTTTTTTCTTGTTAGATAAAATTAAATTAAAACTAAAATGTATAAAGGTGAGTGAAACTGATAACCTGTTACCAATTATTCAATGAGAGCATAGTGAAATAATATTGGCTTGCACTATTCTTCTTGGCCATCATTCATCTGTCTGTTTTCTGTATTGTAGTGGCTTGTGTGGCACTGTGACTCTGGAAACTATGCAACTGGTATCTTAAATACCAGTAGGGTCACCAGTGGTGGGTAGGTTTCGGATGAGCTTATAGACTAAGACAGACTAGGAAGAAGGAGAGACAGACTACTTCTGAATATTTAGTTTTCATTTTATGAATAGCTGATGAAAAAGACCAGGAAGCACCAGAATCTTGACTACTGAAACATGATAAAGAGCATGAACAGCATACTGCCAGGTATACTGTGGGAAGAAGAGTCCCTCAAGTTGGAAGTCCCTCAAAATATGACTAAGGAAGACCGACCTTCTCAAAGGAGAGTGG